CAAAGGACCCCGCCTGGTAAGTCTGGCTGTCGGTCTTCCCGGAAGGGGGCTTTCATCCAGGCCCTCCCCGGGGGACGTCTCTGGGCCAAGAGGTGTTGTGTCTCCTGGCCCCCCTTGGCAGAATAATGCCAGAACAGGGAGAGGGGTCTAGAAATGCTGCCCCCCCCAAGGCTCATTTTTCTGCTTTCCCTCCTTCATGAAAAGCCCACTCCCCGATGCTCATTTGGTGTATATTTCACCCATAAAAGGATGAATGTGTGGTAGACGTTGCCCTGGCTTTTTGCTTTCATTCACCAAGTGATTTGGATTCACCCAACGGCATGCCTTGCCATTGACAACCTGCAGGCGTTCCAAGGTCTGGTTTTAGCTAAGCATCTAAAGGGGAGGCCTCTGCCACCCATGCGCAGACACGCATGTGGGTGTTGCTTTCCTTGGCCTTCATGCAACCTGGGGGAGAAGCACCCGGGTGGGTTAGAAGAGAGTCCTTCAACCAGGGAATGACCAGCACCTGCACCCAGTCAAAGGAGGGGTGGAGGAAATCGAGGGAACGACAGCACACGGCAAGAAGGGTGGCTGACAGCAGCGCCTCTGGGCCGTGTGCGGTGGGTGGAAAGCTTTTGGCCTCAGGGACTTTGACGCTGGAAACGCTCCTGCCCACAGCCTTCCTGGGTGTCGCCTTGCGTTCCATCCTGGGCTCCTCTGAAGCGGGAGAATTGGCCGGTTCTTGGAAAGCGCCTTGCAGCTTTGACATCTTAAAAATGAAATGGCATTCAAGGTTGATAAGATCAACCTGTGTTTGCATTTTTATCCTCCAGGTAGGCTCATGGCGGGATGGTGGGGGAGTGAGGAGTTTGTGAGGAGATCTGTTCATCCTGGAGCTAGTTGGGCATTAGAGTTATGCCGGTATTCTCACTCTTCCTCGTTTTCCTTGTCCGGGGGGAGAGGCGGAGAATTGAATTCTTCCCATATCTTTTCCTTGAGAGCTGCTCTGATGCAGGGTTTCCCAAGGGAAGCAAGAGCGGCCTGTCTCGGTGAAACTAAACTGGCCAAGGCCTGCGACTTCCAGATCTTCCTTGGCGGGGGGTGGGGACGGACCGGAATTGGCAGAACGTGAAAGGATACTGGAACACTAAATCACCTCTCTGCCTTTCGGCCTATTCTAAGAGCCACAAAAACAGACGGTGGCAGGACTTTAGGAATGGAGAACCTGCCTTCTCTTCCTCTGATCTGCTCTGCCTTCCTCTGAACAAACAGCGGAGGCGAAACCCCTTTGCCTTCATATGTGGGGTCTTGCACGCTGAGGGTCGGGGAAGGCAAGAGCAAGAGAGAGGTGGTTCTCTGTGCACAGAAAATGGCTCCGGACTTGCACAGATCTTTGGGCTTCTGAAACGTGTTTGTTATTCAACTGCCTGGCTGAGGCAACATTTACACGGAAACAAGGGGGTTACTTGGAAGGACAGATCCTGAAGCTGAGGCTCCAACAAAGGTCCGCATAGTCAAAGCTATGGCTTTTCCAGTAGTGATGTATGGAAGTGAGAGCTGGACCATAAAGAAAGCTGAATGCTGAAGAATGGATGCCTTTGAATTGTGGTGCTGGAGGAGGCTCTTGAGAGTCCCCTGGACTACAAGGAAAACAAACCTATCCATTCTGTAGGAAATCAACCCTGAGTGCTCACTGGAAGGACAGATCCTGAAGCTGAGGCTCCAGTACTTGGCCATCTCATGAGAAGAGAAGACTCCCTGGAAAAGACTCTGATGTCGGGTGTGAAGGCAGGAGGAGAAAGGGATGACAGAGGACAAGATGGCTGGACAGGGTCACCGAAGTGACCAACATGGATTTGACCAAACTCCAGGAGGCAGTGGAAGACAGGAGGGCCTGGCGTGCTCTAGTCCATGGGGTCACGAAGAGTCCGACACGACTTAACGACTAAACAACAAGGGGGTTACTTATGGTCTTGCTTGTCCTGATGGTGTAATTTTTATAGTGGAGGAGAAGCTCCTGTTTGGGCAGACTCTGGAGAGACAGAATGGCATCCTAGAGGCAAAGGTATCAGACAGGGGGGTGCCTTTTATCCCCCTTATCTGTTCAGTCTGTACAGGGAACATAACCACATGGAAAGCCGGAGGAGTGGTGAAAGAAACATCCATGGTTTAAGATATGCCGATGGCACCCTCTTACTGGCAGAAAGCAGCAACGACTTGAAATGGCTTTTAGTAAACGTGGAAGAAGAAAGTGCCAAGGCAGGATTGCCGCCAGACGTCAAGAAGACCAAAGTTGTAACCACAGAAGAACACGACATCACTTTAGCATCGAAGAACGTGAAATAGTGAAAGTTGTTGCCTGCCTCGGTTCAGTCACCCAATCCGAAGGGAGACGGAAGCCAAGAAATCGGAAGATGGAGACTCAGACGGCTAGCCATGAAAGAATTAAAAAATATCATCAAGTATTAAGGATGTGGCACTGGAGAACAAGACCATCCACACTCTTGTATTTCTGATCACCCTACGTGGGTGTGAATGTTGGACAGTAAAAAAGAAACAGACAGGAAAAGTTTGGGTTGGTTTGAAATCTGATGCTGGAGGAGCGTTTTGCAGATGATAACCTGGACGGCCCTGGAAGGCAAACCAGTGGGTCCTAGACCAACTCTATCTGGAGGCAGAAATGATGAAATTGGGCACAGCACAAGAGAGCAAGAGTTTCTGGAAAAGACACTCATGCTGGGAAAGGTGGAAGCCAACGGAAAAAGAGGAAGACCCAAGACGAGACGGACTGGCTCTCTAAAGGAAGCCACAGGGTTGACTTTGCAAGAGCCAAGCAGGGGCTGTTGAGGATGGGACAGGGGCCGTGGACCTCATACCTGGACGCCCGCTTAACTTACCCCTTTGTAGTTGTTCTTGTTGCGTGCCACCAAGTTGCCCCAAATAAGGAGGTGGTCTCCAACATGTCTTCCCCCTCCTGTCTTGTTAGCATCACAGCTCCTTATGCCAGAGGGGGGAAAAAACATTTTTTGGTCCAGCATTGCACAGAGGTTGCAAAGCAGGCCAGGAGGTGATGAGAAGCACTGAGACAAACAGAAGATTCTGTGTGTTTGTGTGTGTGTGTGTGTGTAGGGTTCCAGAAAGAGCCACCCCACCCATTCCCGCAATCCTTGCCATGATCTTGTTGTTGATTATGCAAAGCATGTAACTTTGGAGCCATCGTTCGCTCCAACCAGAAACCGGGACTCCTTGATGGGTGGCAGGATCATCTTTTCTAGAGTCCTGCAAAATCAGGAAGACGCCCGATTCGCCAGGTCCGGCCACCTTCCAGACAGACCCCCAGATCCTAAAGTCAGGATCAGTTTAAGTACTTACCTGCTTTTAATTATTTGATTGTATTTTAACTAGCACATCATTTAATTGTTTTTTTTTTAATGTTTAACTTGCTATGTTTTAAAGTCTATTCTTTTTAATGTTGTGAACTGCCTTGAGTCCCCTTATCAGGAGAAA